AAAAGAAAGCAAGACCCGACACCCCAGTTGATTCAGTAGCAAAAAAACCCCGACTCTTTTCACACGTTTTTAAACCCCCGAGAGTAGCTCCCCGATCTCAACAACAACAAGAGATAGTCATTCAACATGAAGAAGAAGTCTTACCCCTTTTACCAACAACACCACCAGGATTACCAGCACCACCAGTTTTAAGTCCACGACAGAGTACACCAAGAACACCAATAGCACCACCAAGACCATTAGTAACAAGTCCGCAAATTGATCCATCACACCAAGTTGAGAATAGAGATGAACCCGAAGTAGTTGAGAATATACAAGTTAATGAGCAGGTAACACCAATGGAACAAGAAATAGTTAGAAATTCACCCTCAGTAATTCCCAAAGATATAGAGAACTTTAAAATAGAATTATTCGATTTTCCAATTATCCCGATTGAGTGTAAGTTTCATTTTAAGATCTTCCATGTAACAGCAAATATAGAAAACATAATAGCACATAGGGAATTCTTAGAAAAGAAAGCGAAACAACAGGAAGTTGAGTTAGAACATCTAATGGAAAATTCCAACGGAGATTTACGTAGAATAGTAGTTAAATTTATTAGAGAGATAGTCGACCCACTGATAGATAGTTTAAAGATTTCAAACCAGAAGCGCTTAGACAACCTTATCTTAGACCAGATGAAGGAGAAGGCCTTAAGAACAATTAGAAATAGTAAGGATAAGAATAGTTTAGAATCTATAGAGAAGGCACAGATAAGATTTGAGCGTACATTACAATTAAGGTATCAGCTAGATAAGTTAGATAGAAGATTAAATGAGAATATGCCCCCACCATCATTAAATGTACTAGACAAGTTACAGTTTCGTAGTAAGGAATTAAATAAGGAAAGTATAGATCAGTATAGTGAGCAGTGGAATAATATCTTAAGAAAGACTAAGTTAGATTTAACATCCATAATGAGAATAGCTAAGGTTACAGAGATAGATAAAGGTGAAAAAGAATATTTAGAGTTAATTGAGAAAATACCCTTAGAGAT